CTCTGAAGATAGTAAATATTGGTTGAGTGAACTAATAAACAAAACCAGGGAACTAATGAACAAATGAAATGATATGGGTATAGGGAATGAAGGTGTTTCCCAGGCTTGTGAAATTGACTAATAAAAGAAATTTAAAAAATAAATGTCAACAGCACAATCTTCACAAGAGAGGACTTGGACTGTGACTTCTTTCCTTGCTCTTTCTATGCACAAACAAAAACTAGGCCTTGGCAATGTATTTCATTATCATGCATGTTTTCTTAATGCTGTGTCTATCTTGTCAATAGCTATTGCTTGTTTTCTGTCGCCTCTAGTTGCAGAATCATGTTGTTGGCACTTTTGGCAGTGGAAAATAAACATATGTTTAATAGAGTTTTAAAACAAGACAAAAACTGAACAAAAACCTTCTGAGCCACAACAAAGAAAGCATTACTATCTAGTGTCAGAACATTGCTTCTGTTGACCGAGGAAAGGAAGGGACCCAGACCTATCTGACTCTAAATTCAGTGCTTTATGCACATCTTCTACTCCCTCTCTCTTTCCACTCCCAAATATTCAGGATATTAAAGACATATATGTTCAGAGTTGCTTCTCTTTAGCAACAGTTTAATTTAAGGGTTGAATAAGGTAAGAGTGAAAGGGTATTCCTCACCAACACTAACTAACTAGATGTTGCCACCTGATAGTCACTCCTGGGATTAGCATGAACTCATGAACTGTGAATCTCCTTGACCATGGCAATGAGGCAGAGCTGACTCACTGGAGCAGTGATTTTCACCCTTTTTCATCTCATGGCACACATAAACTAAATACAAAAATTCTGCAGTACACCAAAAAATATATTATTTGTCAATCTGACAAAAAAATAGGTATAATTTTGAGTCATTCACACCAGGCAGCTATTATGTTGGTTATCATTTTTTAATTTGACAATCTAAGGGAAAAGAGGTCAGTGCTCCTGACTAAATAGTCAGGTATTGCATTTTTTAAAAATTCTTGGGATACCAGTTGAAAATCACTGTACTCGAGCTAATAAAATTAATCTCTAACTCAACAGGAAGTGAGCAACCCAAAACAGAAAGAACAGTTTTTTTGAGGGTCATACAGGCCTATTTCTACAAGGGCTGATAGTAGCTGAAGTCCTGGTTTGATGTATATGGGTACCACATCAATAGATATGAGATATGAACTTAGGAAGAGAGAGAAGTGAACAGTTGTGGAAACAAGAGTAACAGGGAGAAATGATGCGGATTAACTCCTCATCCTTAGATTAATGGAATTTAGAACTTCTGAAGGTACACTTAGCACATGGGTAATAGCTTCATCACAATAATGTACTTTGGGTTATTTTCCCCAAATCTAATCTTGCAAGGTTAATCTTGCACTTCTGATTTTGTCTGGTACTGTCTAACTTTTTCTCATCCTGCCTCTTTGTGTCCAAGATATGATTTAGAAAGATAACTGGCTACAGAGAAGACCTAAACTATTCATGCAAGAGCAAACCCACAGCCTCAGACACAATAACCAACTGATTTAATAAGACATCAACAAATATTTGCCAACAGAAGTCCAATGTAGCCATCAATGGGTGTATCTCAAGATTCTAGCTACAACAGAAAATGAAATGATCCCCAAACCATCCCAAAACATACTTTATGTCAAAACTTGTCCCAAAGGCTTTCTCTACTCTACCACATTGATTCTCAAGAAGAACTTCTTTTGATACTGTGATCCCAAAGAACTAGGTCTGCCACTTTAACTATATAATCTTGGGAAAATTACTTAATTTCTCTCAGCATTATTCCTCATTAGTAAGTGAGTATAATAATTCCTACATCTTAGGGATGTTATGAGGAATAAATGATAAAAGCAATGTTAAATGATTATCATAATTCCAGGTACATAGTAAGTGCTCCGTAAGTGTTGGCAATGATCACTTTTGCAATTTCCATTTTTCTTGGTTTCCTTTGCTTCCTTCAATCTGGATAAAATAATGAATGACTACACCAATTTGTATATATTATTGCTCCCCTCTCCATTATTTTGTAGAGTACATGTATTCCTTCCAAATTAGAAGGCTGTTTTTATGTTGAAATATCTCAACTACTAGATTTTATACTGTGTCCTACAGAAAAATTTCCTTGGCACAAAGACCTCACTGTTTCCTGACATCTGTTAATAAAGTAAAAGATTCAAGAGAAAATCATGGAAAGTTAACTTTACATGAAACTAGAGGCCTGGTGGACGAAATTCGTGCACAGGGTGTGTGTGTGTCTCAGCCAGGCCTGCACCCTCTCCAATCCGGGACCCCTCAGGGGATGTCTGACTGCCGATGTCCCTGTGGGATAGGGCCTAAACCAGCAGTGGGACATCCCTCTTGCAATCCGGGACTGCTGGCTCCTAACCACTTGCCTGCCTACCAGCTTGATTACTGCCTAACCACTCCCCTGCTGGCCTGACGGCCCCCAACTGCCCTCCCCTGCTGGCCTGATCACCCCTAACCGCCTTTGCCTTGGCACCCACCATTGTGGCTTTGTCCAGAAGTTGGACGGTAGGAAGATGTCCGGTCTCCCAGTCTAATTAGCATATTACCATTTTATTAGTATAGATAACCACGAGAATACCGTGGGAGCAGTCTAGTCAAAGCAACTCAAAATTACCTCCTGCCTAAGACAAGAGGTAGATACCAGGAGTGAATTTTGGTATTCATGCAGGAGTGTGTGTGTGTGTGTGTGTGTGTGTGTGTGTGTGTGTCTGTGTGTGTGTGTGTGTGTGTGTGTGTGTGTGTGTGTGTGTGTTGGTGTATGTGTTGGAAAGAGAAAGAGAGAGAGAGAAACAGAGGGGAAAGAGAAAGTTTAAGAGAGAGGTAGATAGAAAGTTTAATTAATCTGTTGGTATTTAGTTCTAAACACTACTCCTTTTAGTTTAACTTTTGTAAAAGTAATATTGGCTTATTTGAAAGCAAGAACAATTTGCCTCTCATGAAAATTTTGCTTAGTAGCCATGAGCTCTGGAATTTCCCAGCTCTCTCTGTAAGATGAATTTACATCCATCCTTCCACTCACAGGAAGGGAAAGTCTACCTCCCTATTGACAGAAGGCACTAACTGATAGGGAAAAGGGCATTTGTATTCCATGCCATCCTCTCTGGGGGAGCTGAGTAGAGAAAATGGGGAAAAATCAATAGGCCAAGAATTGATGAAAAGAGTTTGATTCTTACTGATTTCAGAGACATTTTTATTTATTAACATACTAGAGGTCTGGTGCACAAAAATCATGCACTCGTGGGAGGGGGTCCCTCAGCCAGGTCTGCACCTCTCACAGCCTGGGAGACCTTGGGAGATGTCTGACTGCTGGCTAAGGCCCGCTCCCCAGGAGAGAAAATTCACCTTTTTTCCTGGGAATGACTAGATCCACTATTTACCAATTGGAGTAGATTAAAGATTTATTGTGGGAGGCAATTTTTATATTGATAAGCATGGCCCTTTGTCCCAAAGCTGCCCTTTTTCTGATGTTCCTGGTTCTTACTCTTACCCATGACAGGACCAAGGTTTCATTGTTACATCATGATCTGGATCCAGAAGAGGTTGTTTCTGATCTATGGGCCAACTCCAACAACTGCCTTGGAAGAACCCCACAGAGTAAATGTGGTCTCCCAGCAGAATGCTGTTCCCCTGCCCTGTCTATTTACCCACATAATTTGGTTTCATGAAAAGCTGCCATGCTAATAAGTAGGTTATTCATAGATTTCACAGAACCAGGAAAGCAATTCAAGAGAAGGATATGTGACAGCTGTTAGTACCCACTGCCCTTGACCTCAACCCCCTAGCTACTAACCCTCAGAAGCATTCTTGCCATATTTCCTGGGCTTCTCCTTATTTCATCCTCAGCTGTTCACAAGAGACTAATCAGGAGCCCCCAACATTCTGTTCCTTGTAGCACCGCTGGAAAACTGATTATCTCCACTGATAACCAACACTTCTTTAATGGTTAATTGATCTCATTGTCTCTCCATTTGATAGAACCCCGTGAGAGAGGAATAATTGTCTTATCATCTCTACAGTCTTAGTTTCTAAAACAGTGAATGACACCTAGGCCCCAAGGGCTTTTTATCTTCTTCATGGTCTAAAAATGCATTCTCTGATCTCACTTTGGGGACCCCAACCATGCAAATTCTCCTG